GATTATTTCCAGTGCAACCGTTGTGGGAGTTACAGGCCACGCAGGACTGGAAAGAGAAGAGGAAAGTCTAACGGTTGTAGTTCAGGTCAACGAAAGAAATCCCTTCTTTGTAGGCATGTCATCTCAAGTTGTCTGTTTCAAAACTAAGAGAAACCTCTAAGTTACTTGCCATAAATATCATTTTAATTTATCAATGCTATAGGGAATATTTATTTACCTATCTTTCTGTATTTCTTTCGGTCATTTGTTTCTTTTTTTAAAATAATATTGCATCGTTGCTTTATTGTACTAAACTTGCATAAACAATCGGTCAGAAACGATGTTAATTCATTTAGTTTTAATAATGAAATACTCTGCATTTTTCTTTGCACAGGAATCTGCAAGATAAACAGGAACTGTACTTCCACGCTGAATGTATCTAATCTAACGAATGGCGAAGTAAAAGTGGAGATCTGCTACACCCACAATGGCCACACAAGAGAAATCCAGCATACGTGGCTACCAAAAGAAAAAAGGCAAGAGCTTGCGGCAAAAATCCAACAGGGGGTTCCGAGGGAGATATTTCTTGACGACGTTGGAGATAGTGTAACGGAGAATAACTTCCCTGGGCATTACTTGTTGGGGAAAAAGGATCTGTTGAATATTGAAAGAGCTTTCGGGCTGAAAGACTTTCAGCGTCACATTAGTGATCAAGATAGTGCGTTAGCGTGGATTACGGAATGGGAACAATCAGCAGATACTAATCTCATACTCTTCTACAAGTTTCAAGATGAAGTGGTAGAAAGTATGATTTATCCAAGGAGGACTTTGTCTTGATAATAAGACAAAAATAGGTGAAAAAGAACTGCGCTGGTTCCATCACGAGCACATGGTTTATGAGTGACATCGCCCCACAATACAACAACGCGTGGGTGGGTTTTATGAATGATGTCCCACGGCCCCAGAAGCTGTTATGCACGTGGCACGTGGATAAGGCCATTAACATGGAGCTCAGAAAGAAAATTGGCGACTTATCTACCGAAGCAGAGATCTAAAAAATGTTCCGTACAGTCCTAGAGCAGACGAACCAATCATTTTTCGATGAGTGTCTGCGAGCTCTTCTCCACCGGTTGGGTCTCTCCTCTAACGCTGTCGCGTTCCATTAGTATTTTGCCCGTGATTGGGTCCATCGGAAGCATTAGTGGGCATATTGTTTCAGAACTGGTCTCGGAATCAACACGAACATGTTTGTGGAAGGCTTCCACAGAGTTTTTAAATACAGATATCCTAAAAGGGAAAGTCAAGAAACGCTTAGATAACTGCATATTTAATTTATTAAAATATGTTCGCGACAAGACCTTCGATCGACTAATCAAAGAAGCCAAGGGGAAATCTACAGATCGAGTAAATATGATACATGATCGTCACTTACGGAGCCTGTCCTTACCTGTTGAGTCTGTTAACTGCGAGGAAGATGATACACGGACAGTTCTTGAAGAGGACAGGAGAAGTTCACATTAAGTCTGCCGAATAGCAAGTGCTTGTGAGGAAAGAAATTGTGGGTTGAGATTCTAGGGGTGCTGCGTCTGTGTTCATCTTTATGTCTGCAACTGCCTCGACTGCTTGATTACAAGCACTATTTGGAAACACATATATCTCGTGAACAGATGTTTGAATGGTAGCTCAGTTTCTAAAGACTACCCTAGTCAGTTCCCACGCCCAGAAAATAGTTCCATGGATCCTGACTACCAGGAGGCATCTAGTGATACTGCATACTACGACCGTACCAACGAGATGAACTTTCTACGAGACTGTCTTAATTAAAGAACTGTGGGCGAGAATAGGGAGAGTGCCATAAAGAGGACGAAACGATCCCTCAGAGCGAAATTGCTCAGAATGATCGATGACGTTGAAGTCTGCGAAGATGAAGATGTGCTGCAACAGTTGGAGAAAAGTGTCAACTCCTCTCATAGTTTTCTCACTTCGATCAAGCAGCACAAGCATATGACTAGTACATTATCAGCTGCTATACCTGAAAGGAATGCACCTGCCAACAAAAAGATTGAGGTCCAGAAACGTTTTTTTTTTCCCACTAAACGAAAGACACAGAGGAGAAATATCAGATTGGCAAAACCAACTAAGGGAGAGAAGATGGAGATGATTGAGAATTGGAAGAATAATGAGCAATCAGAGCAGAACAACATCAAAGTACCTGTAGACTTCATATTGCAAAACGATAGCGCACAAAATACGTTAGTCTTCATTGTTTGAAAATTTTCTACTTGCATATAACACCTGTCTCACCTCACCACCCGATAATTTCTCTTGTAAGATTGCAGGAAATGCTTCACTGGTTTACTGAGGAAAAACATCAGTCCATTAAAGATCTGGTCAAATCTGCCATTAAACTGTTTCTGACGTATTGGATATAGACAGGGCATCTTTGATAACCGGAGAGGCAATAGAAGCTAACTTAGCAGACTTGAAGAGGTTTTTATACAGATGATGCCTGGAAAGCAGTGGCAAATTAGGTTAGGATGGCTCGTGTACTTTAGAGAAAACACGGTTTATGTTTAAGTGTTATAAATACCTTGTCTAAAACAGTTGTGTGATACAATAGTAAACGAGATATATACCTTCCAAAACAGCGTCATGTGATGAACAGCCTTCTTTAGATTTGAACAAGTTTCCTAAAATAATTTTACTCCTTCTTTTTATAGCCGAAAAACTGTACGAAGACTGGTTTTGCCATCATTGCAAACAATCAAGGTACTTCGACATGATTCAGTGCGAGAGTTTCTGCCACTGGTTTGACTGGTAAGGTGTCTTTTTTTTTGTTTGTTTGTTTTGTGTTTTCTCTTTTTCGGGTCTAACAGAGTTGTTAAAAATTACCAAGCAAAATTAACGTAATCCGCGTCTTTCTTCTTTTAGGTGTTGTGCAAAAATAGATGAGGAGCCCGGTGAATGGATTTTCCCCACATGTGAACAAATATCCCAGAAAATCAGTGTTCCACGTAAAAAGCTCCCTCGATTGAGGCCAAGCCACATTTCTCCTGCAGAACATACTGCAAATTAAAAATATCGGTCGCAGCGTCACGCAACATTGCGTGATTTTCCAAACGTGACAAGCAGTTGCTGCATTATTTTAAAACTTACAAACTACATGGTCCTTTATAAATAAATTCAACATAAGAAGAACGTGATAAAACGGTCTTTCAGTTTTTATATCGGTGTATAGATTATTTAGCTATTCCCTGTGAGTGACTGTTTAATACAGGTTCAACCGTAATATGCACTTCTGTTGTAGAGTTTGGAAGTGCATGTACTGTAGTGTTGCTGGTGATTGATCCCCCCTAATAAAGAAGTGTTAAGAGATGTCTCAAGTCGTCTTCAGAATTAACCTATTTACGACAGAGTATATTTAGTTTAGCAGTTTCAAATTGTGAATTGATGCAAAGACAGAGAAGATTATTTAGTTTACAGTGCATTTAGGCTCATATGTTTCTCCCCTGTTCTGCTCATTTTATTTTCCCTTTGATCTTCTCAAGTCAAAGGATACAAGGGGACCTGGCACAATACTTTGTATTTTAATTAAGTATTGAATTTCTCAGCTACTGCTGAAATAAATTGGAAGAATAGAGAAAATGCATAACACAGAGCTTTTATGAATTAATCCTAGTGGGTGCCCACTCTTAAAAAGCTGAACAACGCGAATTAGATGTGCCCATTAAGAAAAGAAAAAGTGAAAGAGGATGTAGAAGGATGTAGCAGTGGCCTTTTTTATGCGAAAGTTTATCACTGTAAGGGTAAAGGTAAAAGTAAAGTCTGTATTCAAGCTAAGTGGCCCATTCAGCCAGAGCTTATTCTGGTTTCCTTAGTGTGAAGGGACTAGCAGCATCACTTCTGCCTCAGGATGGGATGCTAGCCCCAGTATTTTATCAGGCTTCCCTGACAATATGCTGGTACCCATTTACAACATGTATACTCCTGGGTGGAGAGAGACACAATGAGAATTAAGTGAATTAAGAGAATTAAGTGTTTTGGCCATCACATTGGGCGTATGTTTTTCACATCACATTGGGCCAGGGGCCTGTTCTTGAAATTCTTTCTTACTTAACAGGCCTAACGCTATATTTCAAAATTAAAAGTAAGAGAATAGAGAAGCAGGCTCTGACACTAGAACCAGTCCACTTTGTTTCTTTAGCTGATAGTTTTATTGTATAATTCTCAAACTTTCTTTCAAACATAATTCTCAAAATTCTTTAACAAATAAAGATGGCGGTCATTTGCAAGCAGCCGAGGATCTTCTCTGCCTATATGAATACGCAATTCGTCAAAAGCGCCAATAATTTTTTCGGCTGCGTGCTAGCCACAAAGGTTGCCACATTCATTTTCTTTTTCCCACAAGAATGTCTTTACTGGGTGAGCTGTGGTAGATTCAGTAAATTTTTGACTTCCCATTGTAAAGCAAACTCTGTCGATTTTTCTTTCGCCCGAGAACCAGACGGAGCTACAGGAAATGAGAGCTCGTTTATCGAACTTACAGGAACAGTTCAGGGAAAAAGATGACCAGTTGCAAGAGAAGGAGGGGATAAATCTACACTTGCAAACTCTCTTGAATACAAAAAATAAACAACTGGAAGAGAAAATTAGACAAGAACAGAATTTATACCAAAAACTGCGAGTAGTAGAAGAGCAGATTTCACAATCTCAAGCACAACTAAGGGAGAAAGAGTTGGAAAAGGCCAACTTGTTAAAGAAAAGAGATCGCCATAACGGAAACCAGCGTGCGATCGTCAGAAGGTGACAAACGCGCGAGATCAATTACAAGAGGAAGAGTTACTGAAGACCAACATGCGGGAGCAACCGGGGAGAAAAGAGCAACAATTAGTTCAATCGGAATTGAGATTAAGGGAAATGAATCAACAAATAAGAGATCTTCAAGTTCAGATCAAATAGAAAGACAGAGCAACTGTTGCTTTGCGAGAACGATAAGGAATTACGGTACAACAAGTTGGTGAGCTCTTGTTTTTCGTGAAGTCCGGTCGTTTGGGTGAGAGCGGTACTGAAAGGATTGCTCTTGGTGACAAGGAATGACCCGTAACAAACTGACTTCTACTCAGGGTGTCGAAATGACAGTAACTTCCCCTGAAAACGATCCTTTTAAGGACTTCTCTTACCTAGACGATCAAATTAGCCGGTTGAATGTTCCTTCTGGTTCAGATAATTTACTGTAAAAATACTTGAGGATGTTATGCGACTCAGTGTTCTCCTAAAAAATGACTGTAATGATACTTCTCAACAAAATTTTTTTTCTTATGCCTTGTGACTGACCAAATTCCCAGAAGAAAAATTTGTTCCAATACCGAGCTGGGGTTATTCATCAGAATCCACAATAAGTAAGACCCTGATCTCGACGTTCAAAGTAACAAATCAGTGAAGACATGATCCTTGCAGGTGAGCACCAGTAACGAAATTACAGAAAAGAAATGTGCAAAATTCAGGCTTCGACAGGATTCTAACCCGTACCTCTCCGGACGCTATAACCAATTGAGCTGCGGAACCTCAGGTTGGAATTGTTTTAAATTCTGATAGGATTGTTGTTCCCGTAGAGAATTATGAGTAAATGAAATAAGTCATATTTTGATCCCAGGAAGAAATACAAAGTAAAGAAAGGATCTTTGCAGGTGACCTGCAGCTAAATAAATTGCAAAATAGAAGCTCTTCCCCTCGTCCTATCTACAAAACTTCTGAGTTCTTCCCCTAAAAATCTGTAGAACTTAGCATTTCAGAGCTTCCTTATCTGCTCACAACTCTAAACTTGGCCTTATCTTCCTTCATTCAGTTCTATGAACACTTTTGATGTTTTTTTTTTATCCTCCTCTGTGAAAGATCGTTCAGCAATATGTTTAGTTGTTTGCCTTTAGATCCTTGTAAAATATTCTAGATTCTCTGCGATCACAACAAAGAAATTAATTTTCATCTTACTTTCAGACTTATTAATTTATCATTGGCACTTTCCTTCAGTCAAAGAACGTTATATGCAATGGGTGACGCACAGGAACTTTTAGTTAGTGCCTTGAAAAGTCCAGCAGCGCTCTAGCTCGGCAACTGTTGCTATGTTTCCTTAACGCACGAGACGTCACAGTCCCCGGAGCTAACTGTGTACCCAAGAGTAGTTGAGGTTGTTCTTGTGAGGAAGCAAAACTTAATAAGATAGAAGCTCTGCAAGTTAACCTTGAGATCAAATCAGACGTAAAACTAAAGACCTCAACAAAAGTTATTAGGCTTGTACCAAAGTGATCTAACATGATAACCACCCACTAAGAAGCGAAGAAATTTTAGTTTGTAATGATAAGCACGACATATAGTATGTACAACTGATCTAAAACATGTTTTTCGCAATTAAGTTAAAGTGTAAAACAGAATCAGTTCATTTTCGAAACTTAAACTTAAAATTTAAATAACTAAGTGCCCAAACATAGAGGTTAATGCCGCTTCCTTCTTCTGAGTTTCGCGTCCTTCATATTGCGAAGCCACCAACAAATTTTGCGCTTTTTCCAGTGCTCGTAGTGCTCGTAAGTATGATTTTGCTCGGTAGCAGGGGCGGCCGTTTTGGGAATATCGATAACTGTAGACTTATTTCACCACTATCAAAAATTACGCGATCTGAATGGCCAATTTGCCGTTGTGGATGAAAGTAAAGACAACGTTGCTCGCGTCAACTCGCAATGGTCACGCACTGAAAGAATCGTTTCAGAAGAAAAAAGAGGGAAGATTTGGCCTTCGTAGTTACTATAGTCGTTTTTTGTTGATAGAAAATTGTAAATCATATCCTGGATTTTCAATAAACACGTTTAACAAGAGCTAACAAATTTGAATTCGGGTTTTTCTCCGAGCGTTCATAATTTTCAAATTATGAGCATTTGCAAGAAGGCAGGCACCCACCTGCTCTCCCTCCAGCCCTTAAGTCTATGACTGTGAATGGATTTCCACACACGTCGAAGCAAACAGGCATCCCTAATTTACACAACTACTAACACTGGTGACGGAGAGCACCACAATACTTTATGAAACCCTTCATGTCAAGTGAAAAATTCAATTCGTTACAGCGCTGGCAGATTTAGTCCGAGCAGCTGGAACTTTACTGAGAAAGGTTATGTCGTAAAGG